ACCCCTGAACCATCAGTGCTTCCATACTAAAATATAATGCATAAAACTAGTAATTTCTCTTCATATCAGTATTAACTAACCAGGAATCGAACCATGGCCAACTGGATGACAGGCGAGCATTGTACCACTGAGCCATCAGTGCTTTCCTGTTCCCCTTAAAATATAATTCATAAAAATTGTAGTTTCTCTTCATATCAGTATTTAAATGAAAAACATTGGACCGACCAGGAATCGACCCATCGACAGCTGGATGACAGGCGAGCATTCTACCACTGAACCATCAGTGCTTTCATGTTGTAAGTAAAATATGATTCATTTAAAATGTAATTTCTCTTCATATCAGTATTTAAATGAAAAACATTGCACCGACCAGGAATCGACCCATCGACAGCTGGATGACAGGCGAGCATTCTACCACTGAACCATCAGTGCTTTCATATTGTAAGTAAAATATGATTCATTTAAAATGTAATTTCTCTTCATATCAGTATTTAAATAAAAAACATTGCACTGACCAGGAATCGAACCACGGCCAGCTTGATGACAGCTAGGTTAGCATTCTACCACTGAACCATCAGTGCTTCCATACTGTAAAACATAATGCATAAAACTAGTAATTTCTCTTCATATAAGTATTAGAATGAAAAACATTGAACTGACCAGGAATCGAACCATGGCCAGCTGGATAACAGGCGAGCATTCTACCACTGTACCATCAGTACCTTCATATTGTGAGTTGTGTATAATTCATAAAAAAATGTAATTTCTCTTCATATCAGTATATAAATAAAAAACATTGCCCTGACCAGGAATCGAACCATGGCCAGCTGGATGACAGGCGAGCATTGTACCACTGAGACATCAGTGCTTTCCTATTCCCCATAAAATATAATTCATAAAAATTGTAGTTTCTCTTCATATCAGTATTTAAATGAAAAACATTGCACTGACCAGGAATCGACCCATCGACAGCTGGATGACAGGCGAGCATTCTACCACTGAACCATCAGTGCTTTCATGTTGTAAGTAAAATATGATTAATTTAAAATGTAATTTCTCTTCATATCAGTATTTAAATGAAAAACATTGCACCGACCAGGAATCGACCCATCGACAGGTGGATGACAGGCGAGCATTCTACCACTGAACCATCAGTGCTTTCATGTTGTAAGTAAAATATGATTCATTTAAAATGTAATTTCTCTTCATATCAGTATTTAAATGAAAAACATTGCACTGACCAGGAATCGAACCACGGCCAGCTTGATGACAGCTAGGTTAGCATTCTACCACTGAACCATCAGTGCTTCCATACTGTAAAATATAATGCATAAAACTAGTAATTTCTCTTAATATAAGTATTAGAATGAAAAACATTGAACTGACCAGGAATCGAACCATGGCCAGCTGGATGACAGGTTAGCATTCTACCACTGAACCATCAGTTCTTTCATGTTGTCCCTAAAATATAATTCATAAAAATTGTAATTTTTCTTCTTATTAGTATTTAAATGAAAAACCTTGCGCTGACCAGGAATCGACCCATGGCGAGCTGGATGACAGGTTAGCATTCTACCACTACACCATCAGTGCTTTCATGTTGTAAGTAAAGTATAATTCACAAAAAGATGTTGTTTCTCTTCATATCATTATTTTAAATGAAAAACATTGCACTGACCAGGAATCGAACCACGGCCAGCTTGATGACAGTTAAGCATTCTACCACTGAACCATCAGTGCTTCCATACTGTAAAGTATAATGCATAAAACTAGTAATTTCTCTTCATATAAGTATTAGAATGAAAAACATTTAACTGACCAGGAATCGAACCATGGCCAGCTGGATGACAAGCGAGCATTCTACCACTGAACCATCAGTGCTTTCATGTTGTATGTAAAATATAATTCATTATAAATGTAATTTGTCTTCATATTAGTATTTAAATGAAAAACATTTCGCTGACCAGGAATCGACCCTTGGCAAGCTGGATGACAGGTTAGCATTCTACCACTGATCCATCAGTGCTTCCATACTAAAATATAATGCATAAAACTAGTAATTTCTCTTCATATAAGTATTTAAATGAAAAACATTGAACTGACCAGGAATCGAACCATGGCCAGCTGGATGACAGGCGAGCATTGTACCACTGAGCCATCAGTGCTTTCCTGCTCCCTTAAAATATAATTCATAAAAATTGTAGTTTCTCTTCATATCAGTATTTAAATGAAAAACATTGCACCGACCAGGAATCGACCAATCGACAGCTGGATGACAGGCGAGCATTCTACCACTGAACCATCAGTGGTTTCATGTTGTCAGTAAAATATGATTCATTTAAAATGTAATTTCTCTTCATATCAGTATTTAAATGAAAAACATTGCACTGACCAGGAATCGACCCATGGCCAGCTGGATGACAGATTTGAATTCTACCACTGAACCATCAGTGCTTTCATGTTTTAAGTAAAGTATAATTCATAAAAGATGTGGTTTCTCTTCATATGAGTATTTAAATGAAAATCATTGCATTGACCAGGAATCGTCCCATGGCCAGCTGGATAACAGGTAAGCATTCTACCACTACACCATCAGTGCTTTCATTTTGTAGGTAAAGTATAATTCATAAAAGATGTAGTTTCTCCTCATATAAGTATCTAAATGCAAAACATTGAACTGACCAGGAATCGAACCATGGCCAACTGGATGACAGATCACTATGATGCCATCGGTGATGTCATGAATCAAAGAAATTTCAACTATAATGTCATCATAGGCATCATCTAGTGCTGAAATGTCAACATTAGCTAGTTTCTTATTTTCGAGGATACTTTAAAGTATGTTAAAGTTACCTCTAACCCAATTTTTCTTTTTTCAATGCTGCTCTGCCTACCGACTAGTGTTACTATAGCAATCATAACTTTTTTTCTTCAAGGACCTATTCATTATAATTTAGGATTCCAATGCATGAATAGTGTAGGTATAGTGAGTGCGAATTTCAGCCAGATTAACTGAGAAATAAAAAAATTAGAGTACTTTTGCAAGAACTTTATGAACAAAATAAAAAACCTTGCGCTGACCAGGAATCGACCCATGGTGAGCTGGATGACAGGTTTGCATTCTACCACTACACCATCAGTGCTTTCATGTTGTAAGTAAAGTATAATTCATAAAAGATGTAGTTTCTCTTCATATCAGTATTTAAATAAAAACATTGCACTGACCAGGAATCGAACCACTGCCAGCTGGATGACAGGTTAGCATTCTACCACTGAACCATCAGTGCCTTCATGTTAGAAGTAAAGTACAATTCATAAGAGATGTTGTTTCTCTTCATATCAGTATTTTAATGAAAAACATTGCACTGACCAGGAATCGAATCACGGCCAGCTTGATGACAGGTTAGCGTTCTACCACTGAACCATCAGTGCTTCCATACTGTAAAATATAATGCATAAAACTAGTAATTTCTCTTCATATAAGTATTAGAATGTAAAACATTGAACTGACCAGGAATCGAGCCATGGCCAGCTGGATGACAAGCGAGCATTCTACCACTGAACCATCAGTGCTTTCATGTTGTATGGAAAATATAATTCATTATAAATGTAATTTCTCTTCATATCAGTATTTAAATGAAAAACATTTCGCTGACCAGGAATCGACCCTTGGCAAGCTGGATGACAGGTTAGCATTCTACCCCTGAACCATCAGTGCTTCCATACTAAAATATAATGCATAAAACTAGTAATTTCTCTTCATATAAGTATTTAAATGAAAAACGTTGAACTGACCAGGTATCGAACCATGGCCAGCTGGATGACAGGCGAGCATTCCTGTTCCCCGTAAAATATAATTCATAAAAATTGTAGTTTCTCTTCATATCAGTATTTAAATGAAAAACATTGCACCGACCAGGAATCGACCCATGGACAGCTGGATGACAGATATGAATTCTACCACTGAACCATCAGTGCTTTCATGTTTTAAGTAAAGTATAATTCATAAAAGATGTAGTTTCTCTTCATATGAGTATTCAAATGAAAAACATTGCATTGACCAGGAATCGACCCATGGCCAGCTGGATAACAGGTAAGCATTCTACCACTACACCATCAGTGCTTTCATATATAGGTAAAGCATAATTCATAAAAGATGTAGTTTCTCTTCATATAAGTATTTAAATGCAAAACATTGAACTGACCAGGTATCGAACCATGGCCAGCTGGATGACAGGCGAGTATTCTACCACTGAACCATCAGTGCTTTCATGCTGTATGTAAAATATAATTCATTATAAATGTAATTTCTCTTCATATCAGTATTTAAATGAAAAACCTTGCGCTGACCAGGAATCGACCCATGGCGAGCTGGATGACAGGTTAGCATTCTACCACTACACCATCAGTGCTTTCATGTTGTAAGTAAAGTATAATTCATAAGAGATGTTGTTTCTCTTCATATCAGTATTTAAATGTAAAACATTGCGAGCATTCTACCAGTGAACCATAAGTGCCTTCATGTTGTAACAAAAATATAATTCATAAAAAATGTAATTTCTCTTCATATCAGTATTTAAATGAAAAAAATTGCACTGACCAGGAATCGAACCACTGCCAGCTGGATGACAGGTAAGAATTCTACCACAGAACCATCAGTGCCTTCATGGTGTATGTAAAGTACAATTCATAAAAATAGAAATTTCTCTTCATATAAGTATTTAAATAAAAAACATTGCACTGACCAGGAATTGAACTATGGCCAGCTGGATGACAGGAGAGCATTCTACCACTACCCCATCAGTGCTTTCATGTTGTAATGAAAGAGGATGTGCATGAAGAGCTAACAGGCTACATTTTGAGCTCCTGACAATATTGAAGTTATATGAGAAAATACATGAATATTTAGTTTATTTCTTATAGTTACAGATTTATAAACATTTAAGCCAACTGAAAATACACATATCTAAGCAAAAGTTTACGAAAAAAAGGATTTTATAGCAGTTTTTGTGAATCAAAACTTGAGACATTGCAGCAAAGTTCAGTATTAACCCTTTCGCACTCAGATTTCCAAGATGACAACAAGAATCTCACAAGATAAACTGAACTCTTTGGTGACAAAAGAAGATTACAAAGCTTTCAAAGAAGAAATGAAGATGGATATGCGTTCTGTAATTGAAGAATCAATGAAGGAAAGTATGGCAACTTTCACGGCTGAACTAAAAGAGATAAAAAAAGAAAATGAGATGATCAAAACGGATATGAATTCTATGAAAGCCAATATGGCCAAGATGCAAGAGGACATTAAACTCTTAACACTGGAAAATAATCACAACAACCAATACAGTAGGAAGGGACATCTTCGCATATTGGGCATACCAGACGATGGCAACAACATTTCTGAAAAGTGCATTGAACAGGTAGTGATAGCTGTGAACAAAAACATGGATGGAGACTGTCATTTGAAAGAAGACGACATCGAAGTTGCCCACCGCCTTCCAAATCTGAAACATCAGGAGGACAAACCTCGACCTATGATTGTTCTTTTTTTATCCAGGAAAGTAAGGGACAATCTGCTACGTAAACGCAAGGCCCTAAAGGGCAAACCACTAGTTATCATGGAGGATTTGTCCCCGGGGAACAGATCTTTGCTGTGGAGGGCAAAACAACATGCCGATTCAAAAGACGTGTGGGCGCACAATGGTAAAGTATGGGCCACAAGATTATCAGACAATCGGAAAATCCAATTGGATATATTGGATAACCTAGATGACAAACTTAGAAACTAAAGGGTTAATCCTAGACAGTAGGGATAGCATGATTATCCTAAATGAACTATACCTAATTAACAGACAGTATTTGACTGTTGCCTTTCATATTTCCTTTGAACCCTTTGATATGATCATAATCATAATGAACACTTGACTATGTCGGCCTCACAGCTGATCTGATGAATAGAACTTTATGATGCTTTTATCTGTTTATAGTACTTTAATCCTGTATCAGGAGATAATTTCTTAAGACACTATTCTTGCATTTGAGAATATTCTTTTTTTAACTTACACTTAATCACTCATTAATTGCCATGTATGATCAATTTTACCAACTTGTTTAATGCTTTGAGTAATCAGGAGCTCAATTTAAAGCCAATATTCTTTATGAACTTAAAAACTCTAATTTATTGCAGGATGCACACATCACTGTTATCTGTCTCGGCCTCCCCCTCCCTCTCCATGATTGCATGTACAGTATTTTGGATCTTTGATCCTGGATAATAACAATGCTGAAGTGCCAGGTCTCTGGGATGAATTGCCTTTTGCAAATGCCATGATTGATGTGGTATCTCTTTATACACAATGTGACAGTTTTGTTTTTAATGCACGCGATTTAAATACATTTGCAATTGATAATGTAGAAAACAACCAATTAGATGCACAATTAGAGAGTAATATGAATTCTTGTAATTACCACGAATCACTACATGATATTAATCTTCAATTTAAGAAATCTAATTCTGAACTGAACGTACTACATATAAATGCCAGAAGTTTAAATGCACACAAATCTGACATCTTTGGGCTAATGGCACAGTTTGATAAAGATTTTTCAGTTATAGGTTTCTCAGAAACATAGTTGAATCATAGCACAGAATCACTATGTAAACATTTCAAATATGATAGCTATTTTGATCATCGGGATAATAATGGTGGTGGAACAGCACTTTTCATACACAAACACCTTCAATGCAAAGAAAGACCTGACTTAAAATTAGAACATGAAGGTTGTAATTCCGTAACTGTTGAGATAAATAACGACAATGCTAAAAATGTAATTGTTTCATGTATATATAAGCCTCTAGATATTAACATTAACGAATTCAATGAAAAACTTGAACAATTTCTTCTAAAGATGACCTCAGAAAATAAGGCTATATATTTGATGGGGGACACTAATATTGATTTACTAAAAACAGATCAGCATAATTCAACTAACAATTTTATAAATATATTATTCTCTTACAATCTTTTTCCTTTGATATTCAAACCGACCCGTGTCACATCTCACTCGGCTACATTAATTGACAATATTTTCACCAATATTCCAAACATAGCTCTTTCTGGTATCATCATTGATTGTACAACAGACCACTTACCAATTTTTGCAATGACTGAAAAAACGCTTAAGACAACAACAAACAAACAGATCAAATATAGATCAATTAATGATAACTCATTAATGGAGTTTAACAATAAAATGACCAATGTTGAGTGGCAAGAACTTTATAATTGCCATGACCCTAACATAGCATATTCTACCTTTTCTAACATAATACAACACGAATATGATAAGGCATTTCCAGTAAAAGTTAAAAAGGTTAGAACAATCGGAAATAATGGTAAGCCATGGCTGTCCAGCGCAATCATCACCTCGTGTAGAAATAAAAATAAACTTTATCCAACACCAGATAATTTACAAAAGTATAAGAAATACAAAAATAGCTTAAGACACATCTTAAGAATAGCTGAAAAAAGATTTTATCAAATGAAATTTACTGAAGCCTCGTCTTATATCAGAAAAACGTGGGAAATCTTAAATGAAATACTTAAAAGGAAAAGAATAAATTACAAACCATTGCCTTCTACATTCTATACAAATGGCAAAGCTTTTAAAGGTAATAAGGAAATTGCTAATGGATTCAATTCATTTTTCTCTAATGTTGGTAAAGATACTGCAGCAAGTATAGGGCCCTCAAACAGTACTCCCCGGGAGTTTTTAAGTAAAATGCCAGAAGTAGCTAGTTCTATCTTCCTTCAACCTGTAAATAATGAAGAAATCTTAAAAATAATTTCTTCATTGACAGATTCTGCTGCCGGCTCAGATAATATCAAGCCAAAAGTAATTAAATTAAACAGTCATCTGATAAGTTCACCACTTGCTTATATTATCAATCTGTCATTTATGCAGGGTATATTTCCAGATGATTTAAAATTTGCAAAAGTCATTCCTATTCATAAAAAAGATCGTAATGACATATTTACACATTACCGACCTGTATCTCTTCTGTCTGTTTTCTCTAAAATTTATGAAAAATGTATGTCTCACAGGTTGCTTGATTTCTTAAAGAAACAAAACATCTTATACGAACATCAGTATGGTTTTAAGAAAGATCACTCAACATTCATGGCTGTTTTAAAATTTGTTGAATCAGTACGCCTTGCCTTAGAAGATCACAAATATTCCATAGGATTAATGTGTGACCTGTCTAAAGCTTTTGATTCATTAAATCACAATATATTGATGCAAAAATTAAATTATTATGGTATTCGGGGAACTGCCTCCGATTGGTTTCAAAGTTATCTTTCAAAAAGATCCCAGGTGGTACAATTTGAAGGGGAAACATCTGATATTGTTGAATTATCATGTGGTGTTCCACAAGGAACAATTCTAGGGCCTCTTTTGTTTATTATTTATATAAATGACCTTTACAGATCTTCAGAGGCTGCAAAAATGTTTCTATATGCAGACGATACAAATATACTATTTTCTGGTAACAATCTTGATGACCTCAATACCACAGTAAATGAGGAACTTTCTGTAATTAATTAATGGTTTAAGTGCAACAAACTCGCATTAAATCCAACAAAAACAAATTATATCTTATTCAGGTCTCCAAAAAAAGTAATTGAACATGAAAAAATAAAAATATACATGAATAACTCACTTTTAGATAAAACTATAGTTGGAAACTTTCTTGGCGTACTTATCGATGAAACATTATCGTGGAAACCTCATATTAAACACATTGAAACAAAAATTTCAAAAACATTAGGTGTACTTCATAGGGTAAAATTCAATTTAGATGGTAAAGCTTTGAAAACAATATATTATTCACTTATTTATTCATACTTGAACTATAACTGCATAATTTGGGGGACTGTCCCTCCATCTTATTTGACCAAGTTACACAGACTACAGAAACAATTTATTCGAATTTTCGATATAAACTGCCAACCTAGAGATCACACACTCCCACATTTCAAAAGAGCCAATATCCTGAATGTATTTCAAATAGTGTACATGAATATTGCAGTTTATGTTTTTAAATGCATTAAAGGTGTAAACAATCCCTGTAAGAGGCAATTCAAATATTATTTTACTCCTAGTAATGAAATTCATGATCATTCCACAAGACAAGAATATAAACTTCGACCAGCAAAGTATAGAACTGATATTGGAAAATTCTCGATATGTAAACAAGGCACTGATATATGGAATGATGTACCTGGAGATTTACTTCGAATCAATTCTGTATCACTATTTAAGACAAAACTGAAGCAATATTTAATAAATCATAAACCATTGGTCTAAATGGAAGATCAAGGAAATAACAATAACAAATCAGTAAATTCAATAGTGCATCTTTCCTTCAACATTATCATATCAAAGCAAAAGTTATGATTAAATGCATAACTAAACATTCAGTGTTGAAGATGACCACAAAATTAACACATATCAATAAACATGACCTTAAACTGACCCATACTATTCAGTTTATCCTGAGACACATTTCTGGCACTCGATCAACTGTTCATTTTCTAAAGGCATCGTACATGTGGTTGTGGGGGGGGACTGAGGTGGAGATGGGGTTCAGTGGTGTGTAGACATTTTGTAATTTTTTTTCATTATTTTACGTTGTAATATGGATAATACTCCCATTAGGGGGTCTTCCATCTTATTTGATGTATATGATTTTATTATAAACTGAAATAAAACACAATAACATAACATAACATAATTCATAAAAGATGTAGTTTCTCTTCATATCAGTTTTTAAATAAAAACATTGCACTGACCAGGAATCGAACCACTGCCAGCTGGATGACAGGTTAGCATTCTACCACTGAACCATCAGTGCCTTCATGTTAGAAGTAAAGTCCAATTCATAAGAGATGTTGTTTCTCTTCATATCAGTATTTAAATGAAAAACATTTCGCTGACCAGGAATCGACCCTTGGCAAGCTGGATGACAGGTTAGCATTCTACCCCTGAACCATCAGTGCTTCCATACTAAAATATAATGCATAAAACTAGTAATTTCTCTTCATATAAGTATTTAAATGAAAAACATTGAACTGACCAGGAATCGAACCATGGCCAGCTGGATGACAGGCGAGCATTGTACCGCAAAACCATCAGTGCTTCCATACTGTAAAATATAATGCATAAAACTAGTGATTTCTCTTCATATAAGTATTTAAATGAAAAACATTGAACTGACCAGCTCTTCATATCAGTATTTAAATGAAAAACCTTGCGCTGACCAGGAATCGACCCATGGCAAGCTGGATGACAGGTTAGCATTCTACCACTGAACCATCAGTGCTTTCATGGTGTATGTAAAGTACAATTCATAAAATAGTAATTTCTCTTCATATAAGTATTTAAATGAAAAACGTTGCACTGACCAGGAATTGAACTATGGCCAGCTGGATGACAGGCGAGCATTCTACCACTGAACCATCAGTGCATTCATGTTGTAAATAAAGTATAATCCATAAAAGATGTAGTTTCTCTTCATATCAGTATTTAAATGAAAAACATTGCACTGTCCATGAATCGACCCATGGCCAGCTGGATGACAGGTTAGCATTCTACCACTGAACCATCTGTGCTTTCATGTTGTAAGTAAAATATAATTCATTTAAATTGTAATTTCTCTTCATATCAGTATTCAAATGAAAAAATTGCACTCACCAGGAATCGACCCATGGCCAGCTGAATGATATTT